CTTTGAATACAACGTTCTTACAGCAATTTCTCAAAAGTTAACTTTTACATCTTCGATTTATATATATATATATTCACATTCTCCTTCGACTTCTAGTTGTTATGGATACTGTTGGATATTGATGCACATCTTAATCTTAATATGATCTCTGGCCCCGCAAAGCAACCTGCTGTCTCAGTAGGCTGAATCATGGCATAATTCAAGGCAAGAGACACAAACTCAATCGCTGGCAATTTAGCAAACAAATTCTGCAATGCGGCACGCGGCACAGTCGAAAAGAGCAGAGTAGGAAGTCTCCGACTAGAAGATACCCTAATGCCTGCGCCGAGCTGCCTTTACAAAAATTCCTGCTTTCAATGCATCCTCAGAAATATGACACCAGAAATATGACACCCGAATATTAGTTAATGCCAAAGCCTAAGGGAAATTAACGACAAGTTTCACACTTTTCGCCAAATCCAAGCTTTCTCGGTGGAAAATGCGATTCAAATATGTTTTGGGCTAAGTCTTAAGTTGTATCCGATTTGCATCAAACTTATTTTTAATGGTCTACATAAGAACATAATGAGAAAATGAATTACCGAAAAACGAAAGTTTTTTGCTTACCATCGGCTTTAAAAATATTTCATTGGAAAATCCATAGCTCTTCGGTGGAAATGGAGGTCAAAGATTTGGCGAGTGACTTTTCGCTCTCAAATTCATTTCTATATGAAAAACCATTTAAGCCGTGTTTTACATTTTTCGACGAATTCAAGCTGCCTCGGTAGAAATGCGATTCAACGATTTTTTGCATATGTATGCATGTTTGTTTTGTATATATGCAAGCATGCATGCATGCGTACATGTATGTATGAATGTCCGGATGCCTACATACATGCACACATACATACAGATGTACATACATACATACATATATAACCATATACACATGCACGTATGTATGTATGCATTTTTGCATATACAAATATATGCATGCATACATATTTGTGCGCATGTCTGCATATATATGTATGCATGTTTGTATATATATTTATACATGTTTGTTTGTAGGCATACATGCATACATACATACAAACATACATGCATACATACAAACATACATACAAACAAACAAACAAACAAACAAACATACATACATACATACATACATACATACATATATACATACATACATACATACATACATACATACATACACACATTCACACAAAAAAGAAATAAAACCACAAAAAAAAATCACTGCACTACTAGCTAAGCATGAAAAACTGCAGAGCCTACTTGAATTCTTGAGAATCGTGGAGGAGAGCACTTGGTAAAAATTCGTTTTATTTAAATGTGCAGCACAGCTTGGTTTGCGTTTGGTATTAGAAAACAACAATGTATGCATATACATATTCATAAATGCATACATACATGCATGCAAACACTAACACACACACGCACATACATACATACACACACACATAAATAATATTTATATATTATATTATAAGATTTGTATAGAATCTCTGCTTTATTTATTGCTAGTATGTTATATATGTATATACCTTATGAGTATCCAAAATGCTTTCTTCTGTTTGTTACAAATATTTGCACATAAGCATTATACCCTTTTTACCCTTCTTAAAAGAGAGAGGGAGCCCGAGAGAGAGAGAGAGGGGGGTGAAGATGGCTGGCTGCATAGCAGCTGCAGCTGCTGTGATCACGCATAGAAATTATTATTGTGCCTTAATATAGCCATAAATCAGTGCATTTAAAATGCAAAAAAAAAAAAAAAATAGAGATGTAAAAAATAGTTATATATATAAAAAAGATCGCATCCTGCTGGCACAGAGCTGTAGGGTGCAGCAGCAACGGCAGCTGATGGTCAAGTTTAGTTATAACTTCATCTGCATTTGGCATGAACGTTACGGAATGGTGGGGCGATAATAAACCGTCGGTCGCATCGAGCCACCCATGCGTGGTTGGTCAGCAAACTCGACTCGACTCGAGATCTTTTCAACTTATGGTTATATCTAGCTGCCTGTGTGTGTGCGAGTGTGTGTGCTGTCTTTCAGTGCATGCCAATCTGTGACCAAAGTCTGAGCAATATCAATAACACTTGCTGCAGCCGCTCTTTGGGGCCCCGACTGCAACATGATGCGACAAGCGGCCCAGGCCGAGGCCCCGGGTCCAGTCCCAGTCCCAGTCCGAGTCGCAGTCCGAGTCGCAGGTCTAGGCCCGGCCAATGTCACTGAACCAGTTCTCAATGTCTTCATATATATTGGATTGCGCAGCAACCTCTGCACTAAATATTTACAACCTCCGCAATATCTCAAAAGCCTCCAGACAGCACCAAAGCCAGCGACAAAGTTGCTTCTAACGTGCGACCGGAGCAGGCATGTGGCATACAACAGCAACAGCAACAACAACAGCAGCAACAAGTTGCATGCAACTCAGCGCTGGCTGCCACAAAAGGTGTAAGTCTTGGGGCAGAAACTGGCCAAGTGTCGTTGTGGCCATAAATTCAATTGAATATTACGCCAATTGGCTTTTTGTCTATCGCAAAATGGGGCGGAGTTGTTGGCGCTCTTACAACAACAAAAAAAAAAGGACAAAAAGACGGTGTGGTGGGCAGAGAGGCGGGGCGGATTCGTGTGCGTGTGTGTGTGCGAGTGTTTGATAGTTAAACTGGTTCGCGCATATCAGCAAATGTCGGTTTTGAACTGTTTTGGCCAAAGCTAAGCAGATTTCAATGGGCCGTTGCTGTTAAGCGGCTTTTGGGGACCCGCTAATTAGGCGACTTTTGACGCATCATCAAGTGGCAAGTGGCAAGTGGCAGGAGGCAGGAGGCAGGAAGCCGGGCTATGCGAGCATGTTAGCGGCTAATATGCATCAAAATGTGTCAACACCTTAAGCCAGCTTCATGATAATTGTTAACGCTATCTTCCTTTATTTTTTGCAAGAGTTGCAGTCGAGGCTTGAGGTTGGGGCTAGTCGAGGCCAGCTTGCGTTGCGGACTGTGGCCGTGTTTTCACCTCCATTAACGCGTGTAGCAGGATCTGTAGACTGGCTCTGGCTGTGGCTCTGGCTCTGACTGTGGCTTTAATGACGCCTGACGTTGACCGATCGTCGACCGCAAGCGGCTGACCGATCAAAAGTCGTTCAACTTGCCGGAACTGGTCGTAAAAGATCACCTGGGCAACAACAACAGCGTACAACATCGAGCTATGTGGAGCAGCAGCCGAGCCAACCAGCTCGGACCGAAAGACAAACGGACGGACGGACAGACGGTCGGACGGGCAGACGGGCAGAGCACTCGGCTAGGCCAGTTAGATAGATGCCACAGCACTTGGCCGCATTCGCAGCTTTATTACAACAAGCATTCGCATTGAGGCGACGCTCGCGTGGCAAACACACACACACACACATATACACACACAAACAATATTAATGGCCGCCAATGGAGTTCAAATCCCGGTGCACATAGAGCCCAGTTCCCAGTTGCCAGTTGCCAGTCCCTCCCAGCCAAGTTCAAACGCATAGTTAATCTTGCGGCATGCCAATGGGGCTGACAGGAAGCTGGGCCGACAGTTTGCGGACTCATGACTTTTGAAAAGTGCGAATTGCCATTGGGTAAATGAACTTTGACAGTAATGGGGCCATAGGATGGATGATATAGGGGCAACTGTATTGTGAGGCGTATAAAAGGTAAAGCTCTTTAGGATCTAACCATCAAGAAAATGGTATAGGAGCAGCAATATATTGAATATACATTTCGATTGATTAACTGTATAGTTAGTTAATGTTATCTGAGATGTAATTATAGCTGGTATGATATTGGAGCATCCATTCCTTGAGAAGATAACACAGATGCAGTCTCTTTAGATCCTCCATTATCAAGAAACCATCTAGCGATCACTTCGTATGGGGCTAGTATACCAAGGATACTTTAACTAATTAAGCTGGTGATATGTTCATTAAATAAATGATATAATAGAATATCTATTTATAGAATAAATTGTATAGGGGTAGCTATTAACGATATGATTGGCAAGATTTTCAAACTGATTTATTGACAATCTAACAAGAAATCTTCAGTATTTAATCATAGCATAAATGGTATAGGGGCATTTATAAGTATTCGATATTGGGTCCGTTTATAACCATTTACGATTTACGTTTACGTTTACGTTCGGGCTGATTATTGTTTTAATTTCTTTCGGGAAATTATCTTATCTTTTCGGGCGCTTTTCAGTCTTTTATATTAGTCTATTATCAGACCAATTGCTGGGGTTTACGGTGACAAGTTTAGTTTTGAAATACTATTCACTTGAGTTGTTGTTGTCTAGTACTATCAAGATTATTTGTGAATAAGGAAAGTGTAAAAAAAAAGGTGGAAAAATATATATTCAAATGTTAGAAAAAGTTTGAAACGATTTTCTTTTTAATTTTTTAGATATTTAAATAGTTTGCTCAGAGTTCTGAATCTCTTAATTGAATTTAGAATGTTTTCAAACATTTCTTTCCAAAAATAATAATTTTTGATTGTTTTTAAAAAGTTACACTGTTGTAAACCTAGTTCGTAGCTTAGCAGAATAAAAATCTCATGTCAATCTTAACCTCACTCTACTTTATCCTTTCTCAACACTTTTTTTTTTTCAAGTGCTGCAATTTTGTTAGTTTAAAGATTTGAAGATATATTGAGTACTGGTAATTGATTCCGTCCCGACTGTCTCCCTCTCCCCCTCTCTCTCTTCTCTCCCTGCCTCTAGCTTTATCTCTCTTTCTTGCGCACTATCTTAATCGAGCGTGGGCTTGTATCTAGATAACAAACAAACAGTGTTGTGTTGCGCTTGCAGACCATAAACATTAATTAGAAGTTCAGTTGGAATGGTGGAGTGGGGCGGCGGCAATTTAAAGCAATTTGCATGTGGCTACGAAATCGAAGCTTAATCAACCAAAGTTGGCCGTGCAAAACTGGGCCTAAGCTGGTTTTATAGCTGGTAAATGTGGCTTACCTGAACGTATTCGGCGCATATATCAATTCCACCCACAAAGTTGCAGACATCGTCCACAGACCAGGAGTTAACCTCCTCGCTCTGCGCCTGACACTGACGCACTGTGCCCGCTGGCGATGTTGCTGCTGCTGCTGATGTTGCTGCTGCGTTGGCGTTGTTTTGGCCCTCGGCTGTTTCCAGTGTTGGCTTCTGCTCCGTAAGTGGCGGGGATGGTGTGCTAGATGATGTTGTTGTTGCTGCTGCTGCTGCTGCCGTTGAGCTGGCACGACGTGCCGCCAGCAAGCCCAATGTTGCAGTTGCAGTTGCAGCAACAGTTGCTGCTGCTGTGGATGATTCAGCCTTAAAACGTTTGGCCGCTGGCGGCTGGGAGCTCAAGTCTAGCGGCGCCGCCGCTGCCGCAGCTGCAGCATTGGGCGCCGCAGCAGCCTCCGCATTGGAACGTGGACTAGACTGACGCGAGGCGTGATGCGATTGTTGTTGCTGCTGCTGCTGTTGCAGTTGTGCCGAGTAGATTAAAGCGGGTGTAACAAATTGCGCCGCCTGCTGCAGTGCGGCATTTAAACTGGGACGTGGCGTGCTCGAGGCGCTGGCACTGGGCGATGAGGCATTCGAGCTGCTGCCTTTAAGCTGCATCTGCTGCTGCTGTTGCTGCTGCTGCTTGCCGCGCAATATTTGCTGTATCTCAGCATCTTTGGCAGCACGCGCCTGCAACAAAGACAGGGAGAGAGAAAGGGAGGGAGGAGGGTTGGTTGTATCTGAGACAGGCCGAACATCTTTTTGGGTGGTCAACTTACCAGCGTTAACAGCGCCTGTGTGCTGCTCATGTCCATCATTGGAAAAATGCCACCCGAGAAGGGCAGAAAGTTGCTCATGAAAGGCGAAACACTGGCGGCGGCCACCACAGCGGCCATTTGGCTTTTGGCCTGCTCTGTGGGTGACTGCGCTGCAGCTGGCGGCAGACTGGTGCCAGCTACACTGGATCCACCAGTCACGCCCACAGCACCGGCAACGCCACCGCCGACGCTGCCCGCCAACGTCACGGAGCAATCCTTGACCTCTCTCAAGCTGGCCGCCGTTGCCGGCGATAGCTTTTTGGTTGACCCACTCGCATTGTTTGTGTTGTTGTTGCTGCTGTTGTTGCTGCTGCTGCCGCCGCCGCCGCTGCTGCTGCTGCAGTTCACATTGCTCGACTTGGCGCCGCTGCGCTCCGTGCCGGCAGTCGATGCGGCCGCAGCAACACCGACGCCAGCGCTGCTGCTGCCGCTGCTGTCGTAGTAGGAATTGCGACGGGTTGCATGGTGGCTGCAAGAGTTAAGGAATAAATATGGGTAGATTAGTTGCAGAGCTTGGGAAATTGAGAAAATAAAATCTTTGTTGGTTCGGCATGGTTCTCGAGATGAATATAAATGCAAATGATATTTTTATCGGATCAGAGAAATATTAATTAATTTTAAGAATTTTATATTTGCATTCAGCATAATTTTATGATTTTCAATAATTAAATAGCTGTTTTTTTCTAAACGTTTCAGTGCCCAGAGAATTATTAATTAATTTTAAGAGCATAATTAATTATTTAAAGAACTTTATATCAAATTTTATATTTGCATTTACATTTATATTCTTGTATCTGTTATAATGCTATTTCGGAATAGTTTTTATCCGTGCATTCCTATTTCCGGATGTCCAGGGAACATTTAATAAATGTTAATAAATTATTAAAATCACATACCTAATTGTATATTTCTATTAAACTTTTAAATTTTTATTTCTAAATAGGTTTTTTTTCTAAAAATTTAAATTTTCCAATGTCCAGAAAATAATTATGTAATTTTAAGATAATTAATTATTAATAAGAACTTTGTGTACAATTTTAATTTGCATTTATCATTTGTATGCCTAGACGAATAAATATTGTTTCCAAAAATTCTAATTTCCAAATATCCAGAGAATAATTATTTAGTAATGAGAGAAAAATTATGAAATATTTAGCATTTCGTTTTCAATTTCTTGTTGGGTTATTTTCTTATTTCAAATAAGAATGGAAGGAAAATTATGTTAGTTTTAAGTTTTAAGGGAATAGGGGTAAATCATTTTAAGAATTTGTATTTGCATTAAACATATATAATCCAATTTCTGAAGTTATTTCTTTCTAAAACTGAACACTTTACTGTAGGGGGACTGATTGACTGGTTCCTGGGCTAATTTCCCAGTTAAAAGACAAAGAAAAGAAATCGGAAAAAATAGAATAGTGCTGTTCTACAACTTTATATCAGATTAGACATTCTCGAACTTCTTTCTTGAACAACAAATTTGTTTGGGTTTAGAAAAAAAACAGCATCAATGTTGACCCACAACAATATCTTTTGTTATGTTAAATAGATTTTAAATAGCTGACTTGTGTTGAATCATATTCAATTCAGTTTTACAGATCTTTTATTAATATTTTTTTTTGGAATAACCCTGCACTTAAGCTGTCTTTGTGTTAAAGCTATTTTTTCAGTTCTGCCGATCTTAAGGCGACTTGACTTTTTGAGAATATATTTTTCAGACCTATGTCTCAATCTCTTAAATTGAACTCAAAACATATTCGATTTAACCAAAATTCTATGCAAGTTTTCATTCTATTTCAATATAATATTCAATTATGATTTAAATAAACCCACAGTCCGGTTTTGGATACTCTATCTATTTGGATGCACTTACTCATTGGGATTGGCATTGTTGTATTTGGCCGCGAGGCAGCGCATGATATCCGAATAGTTGCGCGTGGAGAAATCTGTGGCATTTGTTGTTGCGGCACTTGTGCCAACTGGGCTGGTCACAGCGCTGCCGGCGCCGCTGCCCGCATTGTTGGCAGCGCTGCTGCTGGCGCTGCTGCTGTTGATGCCGGCGACGGCAGCGCTGTTGCGTTGACTGCTGCTGGCGGCCGCCGCCTGTTGAAAGCTGTTCAACAGATTCGTGGACAAATTGTGCAGGGGCATGTGGGCTTGGGAGCTGGGCGGGCTCAGGCGTTGCTGCTGGGGCGTCTGTTGTTGTTGTTGTTGTTGCTGCTGCTGTTGATTGGGTGAGATGCCACCGCCGCTGCCGCTGCGATATGTTGCGGATGAGGGCGTGGCGCTGCGAGATCTGCAAAGAGAATGAATTCAAGTTGAAGTTCGATAAGTCAGGCAAAATTCAACTAAAAGCTGCGCCTAGCCTAAGCTAATTTATGTGCCATAAATTGGAATTAAATATATTTAATTAGTTGTTCCCCCTCCCAGCAGGGGGCTTATTTGTCAAGTTCGCCCGTCTAGAAGCTATCTAAAGCCCGTCCCCATAGACTGTCGTACCATTTGACATGCTAATGAGCGGCTTCCGTGAGAAGATCGAGCGAGCGAGTCAGGTTGTGGACCGGGGCCAAAACTAAACCGATCTGATCCGTGTTGACGTTTGATATTTTTGCTTTTAGCAATTTATTTTACATGTTGCGAAAGGCATTTTTTTAATGCGATTACGACTTACGTTGAGTTATAGCCAAACAAAGTTGACATGGGAAACGCCATCAGGAAGAAGCGAATGCAGCAATTGCGACTTTTCCGGCAAATTTACAGCTAATGAGCGCTCCTCTCGAAGATCACTCCAGATAACTCCAGACAGGGTACGAGAAGTGTGGGCTTATTCAATTTCCTATGTTACTTATTAATTAACTGGTACTGTTACAGATTTTCACAATTCGTAAGCGCGAAGAAAGCACAAAGTGAAGCTTGGCGTTGCCACATCGCCAACTTTACAGCTGTCAGGCCCGATTGTTATTTGGCAACAATCGATAGGTTTAACGATTTGTGTTCTCTTTGCATTATTTCAATATGCATAAATCAAAAGAATTGTAAGACATGGTGAAGATTTCATTTAAAGTGGGATTCATATTGTTAAGAAACTCAAAAGAGAATTAAATAATTTGACGAAGATTAAATATGTCCTCAATTTGAAGATTATTTAATATAATCGATAAATATCGAATTGGATTGCCTTTAAATTTCTTAGATTTTTCGTTTACTTTTTAAGTTTGGCCACATTCATGTAAGTTTCAGCATAATGTGACAAACTTTTTAGGTTATTTTCTGAACAACAATAGAAAACTATTAAATTTGAACCTCTCTCTTAAGTTGTTTTCTTATCGTATGGTAAAGATAGACCATCCACATATTTTCTATATGATTAGATCATCTTTTTAACCATCATATATATTTCCTAAATGAATTACTTGCCTACACAAACAGCTTCCTCTTATAACCTAGTCATATATCATATTTACAGGCTTGATTAATTAAATTTTTTTTAAATTTATTAATATAATATGCAAATTTTGGACAGGTGTAAATTTAACTTGTAAGTAGAGTTTGCCTATCTTGACTTGGCTTGAGGCAACTTTAAGTTACCAGAGGCAAATGATATCAATTTTTTTTTTTTGCGGATAACTTTACCAAGCTGGACTCGCAACACACACACACATACAAGTTGCTACACATTTGCAACAAGCTCCTAACGTGGCCATAACTCAAACATGCCACCAACATGGCCCCAGCTAAAGTCAAAGCTAGCCCCAACCCAATTCGCAGTTGCAGCTCTTGCGGACCACGAGCCATGGCTAATAATCAGCATTGGGTCAGCTAGGCCCCAAATACACCCAGCTGTAGCCCCGCTTCCCCCTCCTCCGGCAGCTAGCCAGCCAGCCTCATGTTTGCAGCTGCAAGTGCTTTTTGGCCGGGACGCGCATACAAGTGAGCCAGGTTCAGAGTGTGGCAGAGGGAGTGTAGAGGGGGGTTTGCGGCATATGGGGCATTGGCATTGGTTGGCTTGGTGCAACTTGTGCTGCACGTCGTCGCTCATTTCGTGTTGGCTGCTGCCGCTGCTGCTGCCTGCCACAAATTTATATATAAAGCAGCTAAAGGCAGTTGCTGGAGTTGTTGTTGTTGCTGTTGTTGTTGTTGTTGCTGGCTTTTTACAGCCATTGATTTATCGTGATCTGTTTGGCTGTCGATTTTATGTTGTTGTTGCTGCTGCTGTTGTCGCTGCTCCACAACAAACAACTGCAACATTTTTATACCCTTACTGCGGGTCTTGGAAATATTGTCACGAAATGTCCAACACATTTCCCAGATACCATAAAATATATATATATATATACCGATCATAACATGCAGAGCAAATATAATAAGTTAGCTCTCAATTAGTGCAATTTCTGCCTAGTTCCAATTTTTTGGCTGCTGCTGAATCGGTTGACTATATCATAAAGGAACTGGCTTGGAACTTCCTCATACAGATGCCATACAAAATGCCTATCAAATATTTAGTTTTTGTAGAATATGAAATTTTTTGGCGTTTTAGACAATATCTGAACAAACTGAACAATAAAGTTCTTATTTATTGCCTAACATTTTAGCAAAAACTCATCAATAATAGGTCGAAAAAAGATCTCACTTTTGTGCTCCAAAAATATCTCGCACAAACCGGAACAAATACGTTATTTTGAGATACATTTTAGCTAAAAAACTTTTGGCTACGAAATCTAAAACAATTTGCAACATCAAATAAAATCGATCGAGAATTAGATTAAGATCAATTGCTGCTAAAGCACATATGCCATTTGTTAGATAGAGTATTTGCACTTCGACAAATGGCTGTTAAAAGTTCACTCTTGTTTTTATTGTTGAGTGTATTTTCTGTTGTCTTTTTTTCTAATTTATTTTTTGTTTTAGTTTCTTTGCAATGTTTTTTTCTTGCTGTTTTGTTTTGTTTGTTAAAACAATGTTGATTATTGCAAATTGCTTTGGCGATTGGTAGCAGCTACTTAGTTGTTGTTGTTGTTGTTGTTTGTGTTTTGTTGTTCTTAGCAATTGTTCAAATTGTTTATGGCGCGATTATGTTGCCAGATCGGCAAATTAACTGCGCTGTTCAAAGCCTCTCCCCCAAAACCCATCATATCCAAACACATATAGCAGCTACCGTTGCGATCTATAAGATACATGTATATATATTTATATGCACGTGCCTGTGTGTGTGTGTGTGTGTGTGTGTGTGTGTGTGTATCTAACGGTGCTGATCTATGGAATGGCTAATTGGCTTTGGGGCTAGGCTCTATCAGTCAGACATATGCTAATGGTGTCTATTGTTACGCCTACGCCTGTTTGAATAAATCGCTAAAAGGAAAAGAATAAAAATAATAATAAAAAAGGCAAAACAACAAGCAGAAATTTGCATATATCTACAATCAAAAATGTTTATCAATGAATGTCGCGCAAATTTGAGACAAAAAAAAAAAGAAACAGAAACCCAAAACGTAACACGATACAAAACCATTTAGTGGAACTTATAAGTAAAAGGAAAAAAACATAAAAACATATTCATAAAAAGAGTTAGTCAAAGAACTGAATAGACTATTCGTTTTTTTTTTCCTATAGCTCAAACAAAGGGGTTCGCGTTGCCCTGAACTTGGCTTAGAAGTGCGTCAGAAGTGTTGAATAAATCTGAGCGAACATTGAAGTCAACATCGATCTATCTATTTGAGGACCAGTTTGAAGTTCCAACTTGAACTTGACTAAATGCATTTGCTGGTGAGTGCATTATCAGAGTTAATGTGCAAACTGAACAGCCTTTGTCTTTAGCATGAAGGGTATTCAGACACTTAAGGTTAAGCGTTAGCTCAAGTGCGGGGCTTGCAATTGAGTTCTTCTTGAAAATATTCTAGTCTATTGATCAATTTTTAGCTAGAACTAAGCGTAAGTACTCATTTAATGACGACGAGATGAGCTCTGCTTTGTGCTCTAATCAAAAAGGCTTTAAAATGTAAACTGCGTTTATAATTCCCAACGGGTTAAAGCAAAGTAAGATATCAAAGACTTGAAGACAAGTTATATTAATTGATTAAAATAATTATTTATAGATTGTCTTTTTACAACTCTCAAGTAGATTTTAATCATCTCTGATTTAATGAAAACGTGGCAGCACCTAAATATGTCATGGCAACTCACGCACACGTATTTGATATAAACCAAGTTGCCATATCGTTTAAATAAACAACCATATTTAGACGTTAATCATGCTCAACACTCGTGATATGCAATTAATTAATTTCTAAGGCTCAAATCATAATTCGATTTGTCACGTGTTGAATTAAATATTAATATATTTATAAATTTTTAAAATGGTATTTAGTTAATTGACTTTTCCCACATAATTAATAATATTGAAAGACAAGGCGACAGCTGTTGGCTTTTAGCTTTTTTCTTCGCCTCATTAGCAACTCAATTAAAATAAAGTCAATAAATTGTTGAAGCAATCTTTTTGATATGCGCCACAAGCAGCCACAAGGCTTTTAAGCCAGAACAAAGACCACCCTCCAAGCGCGACTCGTCAAAGATACAAAGATACAAAACCCGTACAGATGTGTAAGGCAATGAAAACTATCGTGACTTTGTGTATAAAGATTTGGGCGAACACCTCAGGTGCTGAATGAGACAAACGGCGTGTCTCATTAATATTAATAAGACAATAAGCCAATAAGCTAGGCCAGCCACAAAACGAATAGGCCCGAAATGTATCTGTGGCGCCGTAGTTCGTGCTTCTATCTGTATCTGTATCTGCAGCTATATTAGGACAGGGCGAAAATAGTTTCCAGTTGTGCTTTAGCTTTTAAATTTTGATTAATTGTTTATATTAGTTCATGTTTATGTTAATCTATGCTTTGCTTTTAACGCCATTAAGTTATGAGAAAAGGCCTGAAATGTATCTGTAGCTTTGCACCTGTATCTGTATTTGCACCTGTATCTCTGTATCTTTATCTGTATCTGTATCGGTATCTGTATTTGTATGTGTATCTGTATCTCTATATATGTACTCGTATATGTATCTGTATCTGTGTCTGTATCTGTATATGTATCTTTATCTGTAGCTAGGTCATGGCAAGTGTGGGCGCAAATGTATCTGACGTTTTCATGTATATATTTTTTTAAATTTTGATTAATTGTTTATATTAGTTAATGTTTATAATAATCTATGCTTAAATTCTTAACGCTATTAATTAAGTTGTGCGTATTTTACTCTGTTTTTTGGTATTGAAATTCGTATTTGCGTTTACTTTTGTTGAATGAACATTTTTTCGATTTGTTTTTTTTTTTTTGGCTGCTGGCGTTGAGTTTATTAATTTGTTTTATATTTAAATTTCAAGTTTTCTGGGTTTTTCTGTGGCCTATTCGCCTTTTGTTGTAGCTGTTTTTTATTTATTTTTGTTTTTGTTTTTTTTTTTTGACAGCAAAAGCGTGCAGCTTGTGTTTAAGCGTTTTGATTAATTTGTCGTCTTTGGAGCCATTACAAACAGTAGCAGAAAACAAAAAAAAAAAACAAAATAGAAAAACACAAGAAATACAAAGCTGATATCAATACGAATTTTTCGTGGCATTAATTTGTTAAAATGTTAATTAATTTGTCAGGCGAGCGACAGGCCAACAACAATAACAATAACAACAACGGGGCCACAAAGCGGGGCGAGGTATTAAATAAAAATACATCACTGAAGCATTTACAAAATTGTCTGTTGACATTTTTTGGTTATTCCATAAAATCAAAAAAATATTTAAAAAAAACGTTTAATTAAATAAAAATCACAAAGACAAAGAGCAACGAAAAATAACCCTTCATGGACGATAATCGAGAGCAAGAGGGTCAGCTCAATTCCCGACCCGCTTCTATATTGCGCGCCAGTGGCAGCTATCGGAACAGTCACCTGAGCAACCATCCATCGATAACCATTAATTTGCCCACGGATGTCGCCGCTGGCCGGGAGTCGGGCAGCGATGCCAGCGACGCGCAAGCGCAGCAGCAGAGCCACCAGCGTCGGGAGCAGTTCGAGCAGCTGCGTCGCGAACACTATCACAACATGTTCTCCACCGTCCACGGGCAGCGGCTGAAGCGGCAAGGTGCGGCGAGCGTCCAGAAAACATCATCGGGCAGGCCGCCATCCGTGACGGGGTCGTCGCGTGGCCCAGCGGAGAGGGAGCCAAGTAGGCGGGAGGGCTCGCAGAGCCCAAAAAAGGAGCCAAAGGCGCAAAAGCAGGAATAAAGCTTTTGCCTAAGCTTTATTTTCGCAAGAGCTTTAAAGGGCAGGACCAATAAAGCTGCATTTAAAAGTTATTTAATTTAGTTTTTTTTTTGGGAAATACAGGCAATTATACAGCTGTCAAACGGCTGAAAATCTAGCCATAAACTGTAACAACTCATTTAGTCATTTTCATTCCATTTAAAGCAGAAAAAAAACATAATTTATCTTTTATTTGAACAAAAAACGTTTCAAGGTATTGAACTTTTTTCAAGCCCAATAAAGTCTTAAAGAAAGTGCTGAAGATTGTCAAATATTAGTTCTGCTTAAAGCTGCTAGGCGCAAGCTCTAGATTGTTCTGACACGAAATAGAGTTAGAAGACTTTAGTGTAGGTCCAGAATATCTTTCCATACTAAAAGTTAAGATGTAAGATTCGGGGTCAAAGATAAATATCAATTTCCTTTTCAGCTTTAAGCACAGCTTTAAGCAGCTTTATAAAAAGCTTTAAAACTTGCATTATAAATAAAGAAAATTCTTTCAGTGCAAGCGAGCAGCATTAAAGAACAGTAAAGTTGAAGCACTTTTACAACGTGCTTTAAGCCAAGCTTTAAGCCTCAAACAACTAGTCAAAGCTCCGTTTATCGTATGTCATTTCAGGTAGAAGAAAACACTTGAACGCCTTACATTTATTTGCATAAGTTGGCTTAGGATATGGATAATGCCGAGTGCCAAGAGAAAACACGCAACTTAGTTTCAATTTTGAACAGTGTACAGCACCTGAACGGCCAAAGCCCTAAGCTTTTCACGCAATATTTAAGCTTCTTTTACGCAACTAAAATCCCGCTTAAGCTTTATGCTAACAACAAAAAAAATGCACATTAATAATAACGAGACAACTGCAAACACTCACCTGGCAAATGCCGCGGAGACGGACAGCTCGCCGTTGTTGTTGCTGTTGTTGTTGTTGTTGCTGTTGTTGTTGCTGCCGGGACTGAGACGCTCCCGTTTGACGTTGCTGCTGCTGATGCTGAGCAACTGTTGCTGATGTTGATGATGATGATGATGGTTGCTGTTGCTGTTGCTGTTGTTATTGTTGTTGCTGCTGCTGCTGCTGTTGTTGTTGTTGCTGAGCGTTGAATTGTTATTGTTGTTGTTGTGCATATTGGCCATGCCCGTTGACTCCATAAGGGCATCCTTGAGCGAGTCAATCTGTGCGCTCGTCATATGCAACGGCGACAACTTCTCATGCTTCACCCTGTCAAAGTACAAAGCTGCGTAGGCGGCCGCAGCAGCAGCAGCCGTTGCATTGCTTGCAGCCGTTGCTGCTGCTGCTGCTGCTGCTGCTGTTGTTGTTGTTGCTGTTGTTGCCGCTGCTGCTGCTGCTGAGGCTGCTAGGCTCGAGGTATTCGCTGCCGTTGCCGGCGTCGCAGCTGCGTTGCTGTTGCCAGTTGCTGCCCCGGCTGCTGCAGCCGATGCCGTTGTCGGGCTGCTGGCCTCGCGCAGCTGCTTGGCGCTGTCGACGGCTCCGTAGCCGCTGAGCAGCAGCGAACGCTCGCTGAGCATGTTGGCAGTATTGCTGCTGCCGCCGCTGAGCAACTGTTGCTGCTGCTGCTGTTGGCGCAAGTCGCTGGCGAGGCGTTCGAGATGCTTGCGCTTGGTGGCCGCCGCCGCGGGCAGAGAGTTGAATTGTTGGGCCTGCTCCCCGTTTTGGTGTTTCGCTGGCGTTGCCGTTGTCGCCTTGGCGGGCTTCTGTTGAAGTATGTCGGTGGGCGTGTTACCTGGACGAGACAGAAAGAGAGAGAAGGGGAGAGAGCGTGTGTGAGCGAGAGACTGCAACTGGGCTGCCAGTTTGTCGAGCTGTGCCGTGCGCGCAGCGCGTCAAGAGCTTACTAAACATTCGCTGTAAATGTCGATACCGAATCCGATTCCGAATCCGAATCCGTATCCGAATCCGATACCCAGTCCGAACTGTCAGCGATTCGGAGTCGTTTCGGTGTCGAGTTGAGGCGGTTCGCATGCAAATCGGCCAAAGGTTAAAATAACTTATAATATGTTAACAAAACCATTGACCTGCAATGTTGAACCCCTAAGCTAATTATCGGGGTGAGCGTCGAGTGCAAAGCCGGACACAATGCTAGCAAATGGCGGCGCACTCTAACAACAACAGCAACAACAACAACAACAGCAACAACTAGAAAAAGAACTATGACAATGATAGAGCACAACAGTAATTGCCATTGATACGGCAGAGTTTCAAATCGTATATCTACGAAAAACTTTTAAGGCCCCAAAATATATTTATATAAAAAATCTTATTTCTCTTCACTTCATAATACTGAGATTTAAGTTGCAACCCAATCAAATGAAGAGCTATTGAGCTATATAATATGCTTATATAATTCCAATTTTTATGCCGGTAACTAAATCAAAGACTTCTTGTTAGCAGCCAGAAAGTATTCATACCTAAACTTTGTAAAGTCGGACTAATGAGCATAGCCTTTTTTTAAATAGACTTCGGATTGCTGAATCATAAAAGCACAAAGAATAGATTTTAATATAAAAGAGTTTAATTAAAGACTAAAGTTTCTTTCTCTTGTTATAACCCTAAACGATATCAAGAACAAATGCTATTCGTATATATTATGTAGTTTCTTATTTTATGATTACGCTCGTATTTATTGCGCAAACGTTCACGAATGCGACGCAAAGAAGAATTGAAAATTAAATACGCTCTCGAGAGGATAAGCACCAGAGAGTGAGCGCATGAGGCACAGTGGACATAAGAGAAGTTAAGATAATATTGTATAATATATATATATATATATATATCTATTGTTATATGTATATACCCGGAGTTGCACGGGCTAGGATATATGCCGCATTAACCCCAATTAAAGTATATATATATTCTAAATTTTAAATTTATCAGTAATGCATTGAATAAAAAGATTTAACTTTTAACAGACTCAAGCCCAACCAATTATCTAGTCAATATGCCGTCTCTGCGCTATTATAGTGCACATAGCACACACACACACACACACTATAAAAACACACACACACATTTATATTGCTGACCGCAGTGGCATACATTGAACTTTATGGTGCGGTTGGAGCTTCCGTCGCGCCCATCGCATAAATTGTTTATTTACATAGCACAAACATTTCTTTATTTTCCCTTACTCTCTCTCTCTCTCTTTCTCCCTCATTTGTGGAAAATAAATAATTTAACTGTAATTTAACTGGCAAAAATTAAAAAGCAAATACAAGTCCCAATACGACCCAAAACATTGACCTTTTCCATGGTCTGGACAGGGGCGAAAGGCGAAGGTGTGCAGGTTTAGCTGCAGACCAGGTGTAAATTAACACACACACACACGCACGCACACACACCAGCAGCAGCTGCATAAATAATAAAATGAATTATTTACAAGCGAAATTAACAACAATTTGTAGCTGAGGATCGTTAGGATCGGCTGGAACCATTCGACTGGCCATAAGAATCGGTAATCGCTGCTCTAACCAAATCCAAACACAAAAACCAGTTGTGAATCTCTAGACCCAAGTCTAGTACCCACTGGAACTGCCCGGTGGGCACCCCTGCGGATTGTGCGTGTATCAAATATCCACAAACACAAACACACAGACAATATATAAAAAGTATAAATATACAGTAAAAACTTTGGCGGGCCTTATCATAAAATTGAATTTATCATTAGTTAGCACTAAAATTAAGTTGTGTTGATTTTCACTTCAAAAAAATGCTTTTGGCACAGTGGAACAAACGTATCAAAATGTGCTCTAAAGTTAAATAGAAGTTAGGAGAAGCTGGGAATCTAAAAACAATAAAAGAAATTTAGATATTTTTTAGAATAGCCGAGCTTGTAACTCAGCATAATATAAAGTGTTGTGATATTTTAAGGCAATGCGATCTGTAAAGTTTTATGTTGCATTTATTACCAACAGAAATCACCTGGCGTTGCCCGGCAAATTATGGCATAGCTTATCGTATTCGATTTTTCAATTTTAAAGAAATGACAAATATTCCATACATACATTTTTGTGTTCCAAATAAATATATATAATATATAAATATACCTTCCAATTCATATTTATGCTTTATCATCCCATTTTGCAGTCGATTGTCAGCAAATGAGGCTTTCTTCCCGAAAACGTTTAAATATTTTGAACGATTAATTGTTTTCTGAAAACGCCTTGTTCAAATATCCCTAGTTGATTATACTTAGCTACATATAATTAAGTATAATAATTAATATAAAATAGATTGCGATATATTAACTAAGTAATATCAACTATGCATAGTATCAGATGATTAATATAATAATAAATATAAAATAATACTATATATGTTATATATTGTATAATATCATATAATATATCTATTAATATATATTATACCATATATATATACATTATATAGACTGTTGATTAAATCCCTTACACATGTGTGTATGTTGCTTTTAAATTCGACTCTTGAGCTTATCTTACTGTATAAACTAGACATCGTATTTGAATTCCTAACTTAAGTAGTTTTTTTCTTCAATTTAATTTTCGGATTAATTTACATACACTTTTCGTGCATTTGACTGTGTAATTAGGTGTCGCAACCCACTGTGCCAGCATTTTGTGCTCTTCAATCGAGTAATCGTCCACACCCCGCTCTCTCTCTCTCGCACTCTCTTTTTCTCCCTCTCTTCTGGCCGTGACACAGGTGACCATCATGAGCCGCAGCGGCCCGGCTGCTGATTGGCATCGCGCTTGGTGCCAATGGTGCTAAGTGCCGAATGCCGAATGTCGAATGCCGTCGGGTCTACAGAAAGCAGAGGAACCCAAAACCGTAGACTCTATATAGAGACCGTTTATACCGTATGGGAGATTGTAAACGTAGAGCCCCGACATCGTGAGACGCCGGACGCAAGACGCGAGACATGCGCCATGCGCGCCGCTGTTGACTTTTCCAGTTGGGCTTGTGCTGTTTTTAATACCCTTTCAGAAGGGATTTGACGTTTGTCACGAGCTGTGTAACGGAAACATCTTCGGTCACGATCAAAGTACACAAATTCTTGACCAGCAAAGTAATCTCTCAGCTTTAAAGGAATCTTCACGTAACCTCGCAAAGATCTGACTTCCTGTTGCTGCCCGATATATCATAGAAATGATCGCTGGAAAATATATATTCGAATAACTTTCTGGTTTATCAAATTATCGTGACCAAACTTGGCATGCTTCTAAACTATGAGCAAAATCTTTTTAAAATCCTACCATATCACATATATACCATACATCATATAGCTGTCATTAGAATAATCAAGCGCTAATTAAGTTCTTGTAGGAACAACTATTATATGTTTTTTTCAAATATCTTAACCAAACTTTAACCACGCACTTCACAAATCAGCCAAAACTAATTCATGTCGTAGTCCTATATATGATAATATAGATCTATATATCATAATATAGTACTGTTTTCGACAATACAGAATCAGTCACAGGTTTTGTATAATAAACATTTCTGATTTTCAGTCAACCACGAGTTTTACTATTCTCCCAAAGAACTTTGAGGAACAATCGGTTGGAAATAAAGCTAACCTTCTAAAGCCTTTCTAAGCCACACGTCAGCAAGGGTATTCAATTGTTGGCTTGCCTTCTGTCATGTTATTATCGTACTAATCGTTTGTTTGTAGGTTTGTGTGTGTATGTGTGTGTATTGGGTATGTGTGATCCGCAGAGTGACAGGCCGCATGTTGGGTCGACAAGTGTCAATAGTACTAATAGACGAGCGCGACTTTGGGGCTAGGCTCTCTCTCACTGGCTGTGGGCTAGGCCGGAGCCAGTGTCTGGGCACGTTCTACGTTAACAGAGTTCTGGAAAAACGAAAATACAACGGTAAAGTTCATTGCCATTTGGCTGTTTGGCTTTTGGGGCACGTCACGGTGCCCCCCACCGTAACTCTCTACCTCTCACGACCTCCTCTCCACCCCTTCTCACACAGAACGGCAACGTCACGTTGACAAACACAGCTGCCGACCCACAGTCGCAGCAAAGTTGTCGTTGTTGTCGCTATCGTTGCCGTTGCCATTGCCGTTGTCGTCATGTGACCATTTTTCATAGACCTACCTCGCATAAGTGCGGCCCTGTTGCAAGTACCAATACGTATCTTTTTGATGTAATTTGTTTTCGATTTGATAAATAGTCCGCGTTTTTTTTTTTTTGCAGCTGCCGCCCTGTTCGTTGGGTCAACTACAAAACGTCTAGACTCCAGAGAGAGACCTTGTGAAAAAAATAAATAAAAAAAAATACATACTACTCGGCCGCAATTTGACTTTCAAAGGCGGGCCACGGGTTCGAGTCGGGGCGTTAAAATTATTCACACACACACACACACACACACTTAGCTTATCAGCTTTTGACCTCATTTAAAAACCAAATAAAACGCAACGCTCGAGAGCAAATAGCGCCCCAGCGATTTATGCGAACTTTGAGACGCTTCACATTACTGTATTCAACGCCTTATCACCACACTAGCGGGGGGGGGGGGGGGCTAAGCGAGAGAGGGGCGGGACTAGAGAGGAGAGGGGGGTACTAGTCTCAACTTTGCGCTGGCACACAATGGAAATTGAAGTTCTTGAAACTAGTTATATGCAGTTCTTTTTCATTTATCTCGATCTAGTTAGATAAAATAGATTGTCATATATTATCTCTATATATAAAACTGTTTCTCCTGACTAACTGACTGACTAACTAACTGATTGGTGAT